CTAGTATGCAAAGAAACAGCGAACAATTCTAGGGTTGTTTACTGATTCGAGGAGAACTACGGGTACTGTTGTGGAAGTGGGGCAGAGAAATGCGGGGTTTACTCCTCTGATCGATATTTCGTTCCTGCAAAATCTGAGTTTTTCTGCACATTGACACTTTTTACTTAGTTCATCTAGGCGGCCTTGTTTAGTGATCTGTTTTTTTATTGAGAGGGATGAGGAAGAACGGAGGGGAATGTGGGAGAAGAGGAAGCACAGTCAGTAGTAGCACTGTGAGTTTTTGCTTTTCGAAAAGCGCTTAATCCTTGAAAACAAAGATCACTTAGGCTGTGTCTGAAAATGTAACATGCTGGCATGATGAACATATTTAGCTAGCGGAATGAAGGATGTTGTTCGGCTCATTGCTCCTTTTATGACGTTTGCGGAAAATGAGTTCATTTCATTATCTGTATCTCTTTTGGAATCTTCGTACGTATCGTCACTGCTTTTTCAGCCTTCGACCAGTCACGCAAAAAAATGCGTGGTGCGTGCCGTTATTTGTTTCCTGGTGCAACATTCCAATGATTTCTTGTAAAATTTTTTTGCTCTCTCCATCCAGTTCGTTGGTGTTTTTTTTCCGGTTTTTTTTTTTCTGTTCTCGTTTTTGCGACTAATTTCTCGTTTGCTAATCGTTGTTTGAATCTTTTCTGAACGTATTATGCCCATTGTTCTGTTGTTAACCATTTTTTTTTTTTTTTTTTAATATTTCACTAATTTTTTTTTTCTGTGGATGAGTTGACCCGTATCTAATATGAGCGAGTCTGTATATCGACACGTTGTATTCATGCAGCTTAACGTTTCCATATTCAAATCATTCATGGTGTTGTTAGTGTTGGATGCCGCATATTGCCTTCACGTAGCGCTGATATTGAATTGACTTGTCCCTCCTCCTGTTCACTTTTGCCATCTTCTTGCGTCTTCAGTTCGGCCATGCGCTCCGTTTCGTTGTTGCTTCCCTCACTTTCTTCGTCACCATCTCTCCTTGTGACTTTTGATGGTTCAATTCCGCCACTGTCATTATTTCATCCGCTTCGATAATGGCAGTTGCTTCGGCTTGGATTATTTGCCGGTGCCTCGGCTTGCATAGGGTGCGAGTGCGAAGTGGTTTTGATTTTTGGTGCTCTATTATTACTGCTAGTAGGGATTCTTTCAAACGGTAGTCAGGAGCTAAAAGTTTGCATGTCCATGTTTGCTTCCCTCATGCGCTGGCCGTTCTTCAGTTTGTAAGTGCGCTATGAAGTGTGTCCGAACACTGCTTTTGGCTGTAGAGTTGTGGGAATTTTAGGGACGCGGGTTCTCCTTGCATTGGAGACCAGTCAGTCGTAGGACGGAGAAAAGAAATGTTGGGGATTACCCAAGTGGCAAATGCAGGAAACGGCATACCAATACAAAATCACGTCTGAAAACCAGTAGATTTGCTCAAGGGCATCAAAAAAGTTACAGGCAGTTTCAGATACAAAAAAGTTCGCCGAAATAGTTTTGCATTGCTTCATCGTGACGCTCTGTAGGGGAAACATCCAGGGAAAGCTTACGGTTTATCATTGTTAAGCTTTCTCTGGCTCTCAGTTCAGTGCACGGTGGAGCGATGTAACTGGGCAGTACCAGTGCGCGGCATCCGATGCTTTTTTTTAAACTACTATTATTCACTTGTGTTGAATAACAAAATACCCCGACCCTCCTTCGCCTCCTCCCTCTCTCTCCACCTCCACAAAATGTATCGACTGTACAGTGCTTATATGAAATTTATCCTTTTTTTTGCTCCTTAACTGCTCCAGCAAAAATCGGTTACCGCGAACTGTTTTGCTTACAGAAAAAGTTTACAAGAAAGCTTCTAAGTTGATAAATTTCGAGGGTGGATTTGTTATCATAGGGGTAGATTTGTTGTCATGGAAATTGCATTTGTATGGACGATTTACTGCTCACATGAGTTTGTGCTTCTGGAAAAATTTGATGCGCTTCGTAATTGTGCACCCCCTTCATATTTTCCTTTAGTCAAAACCGCCCTAAATTTCAGAGTTTCCATTCATTTTGCAGCCTTACTGAGATATGCTGTAGAAACGTCGGGTGGTATTAGGAAGGAGCCCGGGATACTCTGGAGCGGGTGAACTTGCTGAATCTTTTAAGAAAGGAACAGCTTTTAGGGTGGCTTTTCCCGAGTTGCCCCAAGTTTACGATATTTCTGAAAGGCCTTGCAAACACAATTTAAAATATTTCAAGATTGTGAAATTGTGCGTGTTATCTGATCTCGCTCCACGGGTACTGCACAAAGGACCGGTGAGGAAAAAACCATTTTTTTTGTCCTTCAATCCGCTGCGATTTGCAAATTGGTGCAGAATTTGTGCAGCTGATCGTCAAAAAACCAGCTTCAGCTTCTCTCCTTTCGCAAAATGTGTATTCCGCATTTATTTTTTTTTTAGTAATTGTGCGTACTCGAAATCGCACTCATACGTGATCTCCGAACGAGACTTGTTTTGCACGAACATATGTATATGCGCGTGTTTGTGTATATATGTATATGT